CTGGGAGTTGTAGGCCAAAACACCTGAGGACCCACAGGTTGAGAACCACTGTTCTAGAAACATTGATGGCCAGAGTGCTATCATGTAAATGTGCCAACATGACAAGATGCACGATGTGATATTGGACACATCTTAACCGCAGAACTGATACAGTTTGACATCACTTTAACTGCCATGGCTGCATGCTGTACATTCTTGGGAGTTGTAGTTTGATGAGGCACCAGTCCCTTTTGGCAGAGAAGGTGAGAGACCTTGCAAAAGTACAACTCTCGATTCCACAGCATTGTGTAATCGTGGTTAAAGTGGCTTCAAATTGCATTTATTCCACAGTATGGATTGCACCCCTGGAGCGTAGGATTTTGAAGATGCTTTGCAGAAAACCAGCATTCCTTAACTTGCATATGTGTGTTTGCATGGACCACATTTTCTCTTATTATCTGTTTTCCTTCAGAGATCTTGTTGTCTTTTTTAACAGCAATCTTGGTGAGGGAAAATAACAGATTGTTCCTAGAGGAATGAGTAGGTTGCAGCGATGAGCAAGAAGGGACGGAGTCTGAGCCAGTCTGGAAAGTCCCTTCCCTGGACATTTTCCACCCTCTTGTAGTTGCTGAGCTTGGGGGAGCATCTTAATTGTTGGGAATCTGCTTTGTAGGGCATTGTGTGTTGTTTTCTGCAAAACCTGACCTAGGCGATCTCTCATGATTGCCTTCCAAGTGTAAGGTCTTGGTGGTAGGTCCGTAGGTGACTATAGAGACCTATGTATTGTCGAAGGCTTTCATGGCCGGAATCACTGGGTTGTTGTAGGTTTTTTCGGGCTATATGGCCATGGTCTAGAGCAGGGGTAGGGAACCTTTGGCCCTCCAGCTGTGGTGGACTTCAACTCCCACAATTCCTTGAGGCTTGGCATTGGGCCAAGGTAAGCCTTTGGGGCGAATGCCGAGCCTCAAGGAATTGTGGGAGTTGAAGTCCCCCAGTTTGAGGACCCCTGGTCTAGAGGCATTCTCTCCTGACGTTTCGCCTGCATCTATGGCAAGCATCCTCAGAGGTAGTGAGGTCTGTTGGAACTAGGAAAAAGGCTTTATATATCTGTGGAATGACCAGGGTGAGACAAAGGACTCTTGTCTGCTGGAGCTAGGTGTGAATGTTTCAACTGACCACCTTGATTAGCATATAATGGCCTGACAGTGCCTGGAGCAAACTTTTGTTGAGAGGTGATTAGATGCCCTTGTTTGTTTCAAGTAACATGAAAGGCACTGCAGACTACTTCAACCAGAGAAGTCAGCCATAGCAGAGCACCTGACGAATCATAGAATCAAAGAGTTGGAAGAGACCTCATGGGCCATCCAGTCCAACCCCCTGCCAAGAAGCAGGAATATTGCATTCAAATCACCCTGACAGATGGCCATCCAGCCTCTGTTTAAAAGCTTCCAAAGAAGGAGCCTCCACCACACTCCGGGGCAGAGAGTTCCACTGCTGAACGGCTCTCACAGTCAGGAAGTTCTTCCTCATGTTCAGATGGAATCTCCTCTCTTGTAGTTTGAAGCCATTGTTCCATTGCGTCCTAGTCTCCAGGGAAGCAGAAAACAAGCTTGCTCTCTCCTCCCTGTGGCTTCCTCTCACATATTTATACATGGCTATCATATCCCCTCTCAGCCTTCTCTTCTTCAGGCTAAACATGCCCAGCTCCTTAAGCCGCTCCTCATAGGGCTTGTTCTCCAGACCTTTTATCATTTTAGTCGCTCTCCTCTGGACACTTTCCGGCTTGTCAATATCTCTCTTCAGTTGTGGTGCCCAGAATTGGACACAATATTCCAGGTGTGGTCTAACCAAAGCGGAATAGAGCATGGGGAGCATGACTTCCCTAGATCTAGACACTAGGCCATTGGCTTTTTTTGCCGCCACATCACATTGTTGGCTCATGTTTAACTTGTTGTCCACGAGGACTCCAAGATCTTTTTCACACGTACTGCTCTCGAGCCATGCATCCCCCATTCTGTATTTTTGCATTTCCTTTTTCCTGCCTAAGTGGAGTATCTTGCATTTGTCCCCGTTGAACTTCATTTTGTTAATTTTGGCCCATCTCTCTAATCTGTCAAGATTGTTTTGAATCCTGAGGAACCAACCTGGACACAGCATTTTATTTGAGAACACAGAAATGCTGGACCACTCTCACAACCACCAGGTCAGACTATACAGAGAAGCTATTGAAATCCACAAGAAGCATGTGGACAATTTCAACAGAAAGGAGGAAACCATGAAAATGAACAAAATCTGGCTACCAATATTTAAAAAAAACTCTAAAATTACAACAGTACAACAACAGAGAGGAAACAAACAAGGACATCTAATCACCTCTCAACAAAAGTTTGCTCCAGGCACTGCCAGGCCATCAAATGCTAATCAAGGTGGTCAGTTGAAACATTCACACCTAGCTCCAGCAGACAAGAGTCCTTTGTCCCACCCTGGTCATTCCACAGATATATAAACCCTTTTTCCTAGTTCCAACAGACCTCACTACCTCTGAGGATGTTGCCATAGATGCAGGCGAAACGTCAGGAGAGAGTGCCTCTAGACCATGGCCATATAGCCCGAAAAAACCTACAACAACCCATAGAGACATATTCTTGATCCATGTGTTCTTCTGCAGCGAGGATGTCCATTTCCAGATAGAAAGCGGTCCTGACCAGGGTTGGCTTGACATGCCTCCTTCCTCTTGACACGTTTCTCTCTTTTCCCCTCAATTTGTTCTTCACCGAATTCCACAGCACTGTTGTTCACAGCTGACCTCCAGTTCCAACACTCAAGGGCCAGAGCTTTCCAGTTCTTTCTCAGTGTCTATGCCACAGTTTTAGAGGTTGGCTTTAAGCCCATCGTTCAATCTCTTTTCCTGACCACCAACATTCCGTTTTCCATTCTTGAGTTGAGAGTAGAGTAACTGCTTTGGGAGCTGGTGATCTTTGGGCATTCAGACAACATGGCATACACTCCAGCACAGGATCATGACTTCAATGCTGATGGTCTTAGCTTCTTCTAACATTTCTCTGCCTGTCTTCTTCCCAAGAGATTTGAAGGATTTTTCAGAGGCAACACTGATGGAATCGTTCCAGGAGTTGCATGTGACATCTGTAGACAGTCCACGTTTCTCATGCGTATAACTGGGTTGGGAGGACAATAACCTTATAGACAAGCATCTTGGTCTCCCTACGTATGTCCTAGTCCTCAAACATTTGAGAAAATGCTGCACTCGCAGACCTCAGACGGTGCAATTAGTCCAACAGGCGGCAGCTAGATTACTCACTGGAGCGTCATACAGAGAGCATACCAGCCCCCTGTTGTGTCAGCTCCATCGGCTGCCAATCACATTCCGAGCACAATTCAAAGTGCTGGTCTTGACCTATAAAATCCTATATGGCTCCGGTCCAGCGTACCTGTCCGAACGTATCTCCTTCTACGTCCCACCTTGGAGCTTAAGATCCTCTGGGGAGGCCCTTCTCTTGGCCCCGCCTTTGTCTCAAAACCGTTTGGCGGGGACGAGGGACAGGGCCTTCTCGGTGGCAGCCCCCTGCCTGTGGAATTCGAATACGCTTCCCAGGGAAATTAGATCATCATCATCCTTCCTCACCTTCAGAAAAAAGGTAAAATCATGGTTGTGGGACCAGGCCTTCGGGCAATCAGGTTAAAGGACAATGGATAATATTTGACTATGGCTTGGAAGTGGATTTGGATAAGTGAAGCAGAGTAATCATTAGTATAAGGCTAGATAAATAGCCACCAGACTGGCAATAGCTAAATGGATCGTAAGTATACTGTTTACTTTTTATTTTAATGTTTATGGTTTTAATTGTTATTCTTGCTATTTGTATTTTATGAAGCAGCATTGAATTGTTGCCAATGGTAAGCCACCCTGAGTCCCCCCAGGGGTTGAGAAGGGCGGGGTAAAAATGCTCGAAATAAATAAATTGTATTTCAGTGTTGATGTTGACTTTTGTGGAGAGGTGGCTGCCAAGGGAGTGGAAATGGTCAATGTTTTCTAATGTTACACCATTAAGCTGTATTTCCAGCATGGCAGAACAATTGGCTGGTGACTTCTGGAAGAACACTTTGGTTTTCTCAGTGTTCAGTAAGAGGCCAAGTTTACTATATACTTCTGCAAAGATGTGTAGAGTGCTTGTTGGTTTTCTTCTGAGTGAGCACAGATTACATTATCATCGGCATATTGGAGTTCTATGCAAAACCTGTTTTTTTTGGGGGGGATTCGCTGCTGCTGCTGCTGTTGCTGTATGCTTTCAGGTCATTTATGGTGATCATATCACAGGGCTTTCTTGCTGATATTTGTTTGGTGTCAGTGATTTTGCCTTTGCCTTCCTCTGAGGCTGAGAGAATGTGACACTCAGTAAGTTTTATGGTGTTAGCTGCTTTAAGTGATCTTTGGAAGAGAAAAAGTGGAATGTAAATACTTGTTGCTGTTGTTATTTCAATCCCCAAACCTGCCCCTGACTTACACATGATTAGCAAACTATAAAGTAGTTGTCGAAGGCTTTCATGGCTGGAATCACTAGGTTCTTGTGGGTTTTTTCGGGCTATAGAGCCATGTTCTAGAGGCATTTCTCCTGACGTTTCGCCTGCATCTATGGCAAGCATCCTCAGAGGTTGAGAAGGTCTATAAAGTAGTCATTTGCTAATCAGACTGTCATAGGGAACCTTATCAATACATTACGTCCATAGCGTTCCCACCATCTATTAAATTAGTGATCTGATTAAAAAAAATGCATAAGATCCAGTGATGTAATTAATATTTCCAACTTCTTTTCAGATACTCGAGTCAGCAAGTGTTGGTCAAGTTAAGCTAATCCTCATTGGTATACATGCACTTTATATCTAGAAAGGGTTTTTAAAAATGAATATAATTTGGCTGGTCAGCGTGATGCAAGGAAAGCCAAGGCGAAGCATGCTTTCCTGGCACAGATTCCTTCATTCGATATTTCCCCTTTCTCCTCCAGATTGCGGAGACCTATGCTTTCCTGCCCAGAGAAGCCGTGACCAGGTTCCTGATGAGTTGCACCGAATGCCAGAAAAGGATGCATTTTAACTCCAATGGCGTGGAGCCCAAAGGTAAAGCCCACAAAGCAGCTAAGGGATTGATACCTCAAATGATGGTGATGATGATGATGATGACCATTTAGCATGAAATAGTTATAGAAGGCACTGCACTCCCATATAATGCAGTTTGGAATTGGTCAGTTGAGGCCCCGTCTGTACTGCCACATAATGCAGTTTAACTACATCGAACTGCATTTTTTGTGTGTGTGTGTCAGGAGTGACTTGAGAAACTGCAAGTCGCTTCTGGTGTGAGAGAATTGGCAGTCTGCAAGGACGTTTCCCAGGAGATGCCTGGATGTTTTGATGTTTTACCATCCTTGTGGAAGGCCTCTCTCATGTCCCCACATGGGAAGCTGGAGCTGACAGAGAGAGCTCATCTGCGCTCTCTCCAGATTCAAACTGCTGACCTGTCGATCTTCAGTCCTGCCGACACAAGGGTTTAATCCATTGTGTCACTAGGGGTTCCCAACCTCTAAGAGCCCGTGGACCACTGAGGAATAAATTGGATATATCGTGGGCCATCGAGATCAATCAACCCCTCTCTGCCCCACCTGCAAAGAAATAACATCAGTTTCTAAATAATAGGAATTTATTAATTCTGGTAATAATAATAATAATAATAATAATAATAATAATAATAATAAGCTTTATTTATACCCAGCCACCAGCCCCCCAATGGGCTCGGAGCGGCTTACATGGGAACAACATATTACATCAAAATACAACCAAAACATGAACAACAAACAACATCATCAAAATTACATAGAAGAAAAAAATGTAATAACAAAATAACATTACAGTGAACGAAAACAAAAACATCCCATCTATATGGTTACATCCCATATAGACTACTGCAACACTCTCTATGTGGGGTTGCCTTTGAAGACTGTTTGGAAGCTCGGCAGCCAGGTTGTTAATGGGAGCGGCGCTCAAGAAGCACACAACTCCGCTGTTGCGCCAGCTTCACTGGCTGCCAGTTTGCTACCGGGCACAATTCAAAGTGCTGGTTTTAGCCTATAAAGCCCTAAACCAGTGGTTCTCAACCTTCCTAATGCCATGACCCCTTAATATGCTTCCTCGTGTTATGGTGACCCCCAACCATAAAATTATTTTCATTGCTACTTCATAACTGTCATTTTGCTGCTCTTGTGAATAGTAATGTAAATATCTGATATGCAGGATGTATTTTCATACACTGGACCAAATCTGGTATAAAGACCCAATACACACAAATTTAAATACTGGTGGGATTGGAGGAGGGTATTGATTTTGTCCTGTGGGAATTGTAGTTGCTGGGATTCATAGTTCACCTACAATCAAAGAGCATTCTGAATTCCACCAACAATGGAATTGAATCAAACTTGGCACACAGAACTCCCATGACCAAGAGAAAATTCTGGAAGGGTTTGGTGGGCATTGACCTTTAGTTTTGGGGGTTGTAGTTCACCTACATCCAGAGAGCACTGTGGACTCAAACAATGATGGATCTGGACCAAACTTGGCACGGATACTCAATATGCCCCAATGTAAACACTAATGGGGTTTGGGGAAAATAGACCTTTACGTTTGGGAGTTGTAGTTGCTGGGGTTTATAGTTCACCTACAATCAAAGAGCATTCTGAACCCTACCAATGATTGAATTAGGCCAAACTTCCCACACAGAACCTCCATGATCAACAGAAAATACTGTGTTTTCTTGTGGTCTTTGGTGACCCCGCTGACACCCCCTCGCGACCCCTCCAGGGGTCCCGACCCCCAAGTTGAGAAACACTGCCCTAAACGGTTCCAGCCTGGCTTACCTGTTTGAATGTATCTCTCCTTATGAACTCTCTAGGACTTTAACATAATCTGGGGAGGCCCTGCTCTTGGTCCTGCCTCCTTCACAGATGTGATTGGCGGGGACGAGAGACAGGGCATTCTCAGCGGTGGCCCCTCAACTGTGGAACGCCCTTCCCACGGATATAAGATCGGCCCCCTCCCTCCTGACATTCCGTAAGAAGGTTAAAACGTGGCTCTTCGAGCAAGATTTTGCCAATGCAACATAATTAGATAAAGATGGATTCGGAACAATTGACGATGCACTTGGATCATGATTTCAGTAAGGAGACATTGATGATTGTGTTTTAGAGCTTTGTCTGTTTTTTATACTACATGTTAATGTTTTGATTCTTTTTATAATGTGTTTTTAACTTGCACTTTATAATTCTGGAGGCCTCACATTGTTGCCAATTGTGAACTGCCCTGAGTCTCCTTCGGGCTGAGAGGGGCGGTATATACGTGTAGTAAATAAATAAATAAATATTAATAATCATACTGATATTTACATTTCCAAAGACAGAACAACATAGTTAAACTTAATTAAAGCCTTCTTCTCCATGAATATTCCTTTTCCTCCTCTTTCCGTGCAGAAAACGAACCCCCTTCTTCTCTGGTCTCCGGCATCATCGACTACAACATGCCCCTCACTTCCACCTACTTGAAGCAGATGAAGCTGCGAGTTATGAATTCCCAAGACCAGGTCAGCCTCCCATTCCATTGATTTACCTGTTTATCAATCGTATGCCATTCCGTGCAAAAGGCAGAACTTTGGAAAGTTAGGTTTGGGTACAAAAATGCCCCCAAATCCCATTGTCGCCATTGATTTATCAGTCGTATTTCATTCTGCGCAAAGGGGAGAACTTTGGAAAGGTAGGTTCGGGTACTAAAGCGCCCTCAAATCCCGTTGCCTGAGATGGTTTGGGGATTCTGGGAGTCATTGCCCAAAAAAGTAAATTTCTCCAACGTTAACAAATCAGATGCTGCCTTTGCAATACATTTTGGAGCAATTACTTCTTGAATGCTGTTGGAATACTACACCTCTCTGCTTGAAGTTGGATGTCGGTAATGGGTGAGAAGTTGGCAAAGGGGGCTAAGGACCTTGCAAAACTACAACTCCCAGAATTCCATAACATTGATTATTGCCGGTACATCTACACTGTAGACTTAATTCAGTCTGGCACCACTATAGCTACTATAAATATCTCAATGCTGTGGAATGGTGGGAGCTGTTGTTTGGTAAGGACTCATTGGCAAAGGAGGCTAAAGACTTTGCAAAACTACAACTCCCAGAATTCCATAACATTGATTATTGCCGGTACATCTACACTGTAGACTTAATTCAGTTTGGCACTATTTTAGCTACTATAAATAGCTCAGTGCTGTGGAACAGTGGGAGCTGTCGTTCGGTAAGGACCCTTTGGCAAGGGAGACTAAAGACTTTGCAAAACTACAACTCCCAGAATTCCATAACATTGATTATTGCCGGTACATCTACACTGTAGACTTAATTCAGTTTGGCACCACTATAGCTACTATAAATATCTCAAGGCTGTGGAATGGTGGGAGCTGTCGTTTGGTAAGGACCCTTTGGCAAATGAGGCTAAAGAGCTTGCAAAACTACAACTCTCAGAATTCCATAGCATTGATTATTGCTGGTACATCTACACTGTAGACTCAATTCAGTTTGGCACCACTATAGCTGCTATAAATATCTCAATGCTGTAGAATGCTGGGAGCTGTTGTTCGATAAGGACCCATTGGCAAAAGAGGCTAAAGACTTTCCAAAACTACAACTCCCAGTATTCCATAACATTGATTATTGCTGGTACATCTACACTGTAGACTTAATTCAGTTTGGCACCATTTTAGCTACTATAAATATCTCAGTCTTGTAGAATTGTGGGAACTGTCGTTTGGTAAGGACCCATTGGCAAAGGAGGCTAAAGACTTTGCAAAACTACAACTCCCAGAATTCCATAACATTGATTATTGCCGGTACATCTACACTGTAGACTTAATTTTGTTTGGGAGCTGTCGTTCGGTAAGGACTCACTGACAAAGGAGGCTAAAAACCTTGCAAAACTACAACTCCCAGGATTCCATAACATTGATTATTGCCGGTACATCTACACTGTACACTTAATTCAGTTTGGCACCACTATAGCTGCTATAAATATCTCAATGTTGTGGAATGGTGGGAGCTGTCGTTTGGTAAGGACTCTGTGGCAAAGGAGGCTAAAGACTTTCCAAAATTACAACTCCCAGAATTCCATAACATTGATTATTGCCGGTACATCTACACTGTAGGCTTAATTCAGTTTGGCACCATTTTAGCTACTACAAATATCTCAATGTTGTGGAATGGTGGGAGCTGTTGTTCAGTAAGGACTCATTGGCAAAGGAGGCTAAAGACCTTGCAAAACGACAACTCCTAGAATTCCATAACATTGATTATTGCTGGTACATCTACACTGTAGACTTAATTCAGTTTAGCACCATTTTAGCTACTACAAATATCTCAATGCTGTGGAATGGTGGGATCTGTTGTTCAGTAAGGACCCTTTGGCAAAGGAGGCTGAAGACTTTGCAAATCTACAACTCGCAGGATTCCATAACATTGATTATTGCCTGTACATCTACACTGTAGACTTAATTCAGTTTGACACCACTATAACTACTATAAATAGCTCAATGCTTCGGAATGGTGGGAGCTGTCGTTCGGTAAGGACCCACTGACAAAAAAGGCTGAAGACCTTGCAAAACTACAACTCCCAGGATTCCATAACATTGATTATTGCCGGTACATCTACACTGTACACTTAATTCAGTTTGGCACCACTATAGCTGCTATAAATATCTCAATGTTGTGGAATGGTGGGAGCTGTCGTTTGGTAAGGTCTCTGTGGCAAAGGAGGCTAAAGACTTTGCAAAACTACAACTCCCAGAATTCCATAACATTGATTCCATAATATTGCCAGTACATCTACACTGTACACTTAATTCAGTTTGGCACCACTATAGCTACTATAAATATCTCAGTGCTGTGGAGCGGTGGGAGCTGTCGTTCGGTAAAGACTCATTGGCAAAGGAGGCTAAAGACTTTGCAAAACTACAACTCCCAGCATTCCATAACATTGGCAGTTGAAGCGGCACCAAACTGCATAAATTCTCCAGTGTTGATGCACTGTTGGTGCACTGCAAATTGGAGGGAATTGCTTTGTTTCTGAGGATATTGTAGCACCTAAAAGATTAATAAATGCACAACGGCATGATATTAGTGAGGCAGGGGCTTGTTATTATTGGAAATTGTAGTTTCTGAAAATGCATATGTCTGTGTCCCAGTTTTTTGGGGTGAGGTTCTGGGGTGGATTTTTGTGTTGGCCTAAGGTGCACAAACAAGGTCTTTGTTTTGCAAGCGTCTTGTGGGATTGTCTGAGAAGATAAAGGACTTTCCCCTCTTGGGAAGCCCAGAATAAGCCAAGCCGGGTTTAGAGAGGATCATTGTGTTTGGGATGAAGAGAGCAGAAAGTGTCGGAGGGGTAATCTGTCGAAATGGACTAATCCCTCGCAATCTCTTTGGCCTGAGATCCCACCCAGTGTTGGTGGCGTTACTTGCTTCGAGCTGTTTCTACCTGTGTTGAAGGCCAACTTCGTCCCTCCGGGTGTTTTGGACTGCAACTCCCACAATTCCTAACAGCCGGTAGGCTGTTAGGAATTGTGGGAGTTGCAGTCCAAAACACCCGGAGGGACGAAGTTGGCCATTGCCTGTTTAAAAGGGTTGCATTTCTGCCATGTGAGCTGTAATCGTCGAATCCCAGACTTGCAAAGGCATCCTCCATTTGGCAGAGAAGGCTCAGGATGTTGCAAAACTACAAATCCCAGGTTTCCATAACAGTCAAAGTGTGTTTTGAACTGCATTATAGTTGCACCATTAGGACTGCACTAAGTCCCACCCTTATGTTGCTATATTAACAAAGTAAATACTTTCTTGGAAAATGTATATTTAATATGGTACCAGAGATACAAAATAACTTGACTGGGAAAGGGATAGGGTCCTGCTCCTCAAAGGAAAAAGAGGAATTCAGAATATATATATATATATATATATATATATATATATATATATTCTGAATTATATATATATATATATAATAATAATAATAATAATAATAATAGAATCAAAGAGTTGGAAGAGACCTCATGGGCCATCCAGTCCAACCCCATTCTGCCAAGAAGCAGGGAAAATTGCATTCAAAGCACCCCTGACAGATGGCCATCCAGCCTCTGTTTAAAAGCTTCCAAAGAAGGAGCCTCCACCACACTCCGGGGCAGAGAGTTCCACTGCTGAACGGCTCTGTGTGTATGTGTGTATATATATGTGTGTGTGTTCGTTTGTGGGATTAACATAACTCAAAAACCACGGGGCAAATTGACACCAAATTTGGACACAAGTCAGCTATCCGGCCAACAAGTGACCATCTCTCATAAAAACACTGAAAAACACAGCGGAAGAGACTTAAAATGCCAAAAAATAAAAATAAAAAATACATTACATTACAACGTATGCGCATAACATATATACACAAAAATATATACACACACAAAACACATTTATTTATTTATTTACTGCGCTTATATACCGCAATTCTCAGCCCAGGGGCGACTCATTGCGGTGTACAACATAGAAAAACAGGTGCAAAATACAAGACATAGTGTAAAAATAATCCACAATTCATCATTATCAAAAACATCCTAATCAAAACATCAACATTACTACAAAAGCCATTCCATGTTGGACTGGATGGTATGTGTGTGTGTGTGTATATATATGTGTGTGTGTATACACACACACACACACACACACACATACTAGCCATCCCCTGCCACGTTGCTGTGGCCCACATGGGGGTTCTTTGTGGGAGGTTTGGCCCAGTTCTATCGTTGGTGGGATTCAGATTGTAGGTGTACTATAAATCCCAGCAACTACAACTCCCAAATGTCAAGGTCTATTTCCCCAAACTCCATCAGTGTTCATATTTGGGCATATTGAGTATTCGTGCCAAGTTTGGTCCAGATCCATCATTGTTTGAGTCCACAGTGATCTCTGGATGTAGGTGAACTACAACTCCAAAACCAAAGGACACTGCCCACCAAACCCTTCCAGTATTTTCTTTTGGTCATGGGAGAACTGTGTGCCAAGTTTGGTTCAATTCCATCGTTGGTGGGGTTCAGAATGCTCTTTGATCATAGGTGAACTACAGATCCCAGCAATTACAACTCCCAAATGACAAGATCAATTTTTTTTAGTGGAGGACATACATTGGGTTGTTAGGTGTCTTGTGTCCAAATTTGGTGTCAATTCGTCTAGTGGTTTTTGAGTTCTGTTAATCCCACAAACACGCACACTCATATATATATATCTCAGCGCTAACTATATGGAATAGTTGGAAGGGGCACCCAAAGGACATCCAATCCAACTCACTTCTGCCAGGCAGGAAGACACAATCCAAACCCTCCTGACAGATGGCTCTTTAGACTATGAATTCCCTCAATCTGGACACTATCCTATTGATGCAACCTAGAGTCACATTAGCATTTTTAGCTACTGCATCATACTGTTGGCTCATGTTCAGCCTCTAACTATATGGAATAGAATCATAGAATCAAAGAGTTGGAAGGGACCTCATGGGCCATCCAGCC